ACCCTGTAAGCCCTATAAGCCGTAAACCCTAAACCCTAAACCCTATAAGCCCTACAAGCCCTAAACCCTAAACCCAAAACCCTATAAGCCCTATAAGCCCTATAAGCCCTAAACCCTAAACCCTAAACCCTAAACCCTAAACCCTAAACCCTAAACCCTAAACCCTATAAAGCCCGGAGAGCAGGTCTCTGAGTCGGCTGCGGGGGGGGTAGAGAAAGGTAGCAGGTAGCACTCAAGCTCCACTTTTCTGTGGGGGAACCGGTTTAGGGTTTAGGGTTTAGGGTTTAGGGTTTAGGGTTTAGGGTAACTTTAAAGCTCCGAGGAGATATCACGATCGCTCCTTCCCCACAATCAAGGTTTGGGGCTCAAGGTTTGGTTGAATTAAGAAACCAAATTCAAAACAAATGTAGGCCGTAGGCTTAGGGTGGGGGCTTCTCTCCTAAAAATCTTCCAGGCAACCGATAGCGCGTGTCAGCTAAGGGCAACAAACATGCAGGACGACCCGGGCCCCGTGGGAAGGAAAGTGCAAGCGCAAAGCCATTGGAGGAGGCACTGTGCCTTTAGAGGAGAAAGCGGACATAAGACTGCTCATAGCAAGCATCCCCAGAGCATACGAGAAAGAATCACTTGTGGACCTAAGTGTCAAGAGACCTATGGCAGACAGATTGGAAGTCTGAGTCATCGAGGGTCTCTTTGAACCCTGTCAGTCAATGCTGGCACCTGCGCGCATTAGGTGGCAAAGATGCTGGTGATGGGGAGGAGTAGGAGGGGGAGGAGGAGGACGACCGGGACCAGGACCAGGACCAGAGGTGATGATGGTGTTGGAAGCCAAGCACGGACCCAAACATCACAAGAAGAGTTATTAGCATCTTGCCTGTGCTGAACAATGCTTATACTATAATTGCCCAAACAATCACCACCGCTAATCCTGAAAGGTTCCTTACTAGAATTACTGACTATACGTTGCCCCAGCACCCTGTTCTCCGGTCTGATACGTGGTCTGCGCTCGCGGCGGCTGGTCTTAACAATGGTGGTATGTCAATAGGAGACTATAATGGGGGTATGACTTTTAAAATTTCCGACCTATGTTATTCCTGTAAAAATCCGGACGGCCGGGATAAAAAGGCTTCTTTGCAATCCCGGCCCAGTTCGAAAGATCTCGAGCCCTGCGGAAACTTCCGTATCCCTAAATCCTAAACCCCTAAACCCCAAACCCTAAATCCTAAACCTGAACCGCAGGGTGCTCTTCAGCGCGCCGATGGGTGCAGCCGCCGGCTAGGTGCCTTGGGCTTTGATGCTGAGGGCTTGCGGAATTTGGGTGCCTGGTAGGGTTCAGGGTTCAGGGTTTTAGGGTTTCAGGGTTTAGGGTTCAGGGTTTTAGGGTTCAGAGTTTTAGGGCTTTAGGGTTCGGAGTTTTAGGGTTTAGGGCAATGCCAAGTTTTGAGCATGAGGCAGACGCACATTCAGTACAGGACTGTCGGCGCTCACATGGAGCTTCTAGCTTGCAGGGCCCTCTGGCAGAAGTACACAGCCAGATCGCTCTTCTTTTCATACCATCAGGCAGATGCCGTCGTACGGCATTTCGGGTGCGACAGCATGAAGACTACTCACGCTTTGAACAGTTTCATGCATCGAACCGTCCTCGGAGCTTTGCCGGCAGGACGCTACCTGTTGGAAAAGGGACTTTGCCCCTGCATGCAGGAATTCCATGAACGTGCGAGGTGCAGAGTCGCTGTTGCTGTTGGAAAAGCTGGTATCCTCGAGGACATCTTCAACGGGCATGGGCTCCAACTGGCTGTGGGAAGGCTTACTTGAGTCTTCCTCGCCAAGCATCAGCACCAAGAGCCCTAGGATCATGCCCCCGACGCATAAGAAGTACCCTGTAACCTTCCACAAGGGCTCCCCATCCATTTCCTCTAGCACGATCACCGCGGACAAACTGTTCGACAGTATGCTCGCTCCTTGGAACAGGAGTAGGGCGTGGGTCTTGCTTAAACTGATTAAACGCACCGATGCTTAAACGCAGAATGTTAAAGCCAAGCGAACCCTTTGTCGAGTCATGTTTAAGCCGTTTACACTTCTTTGAAACAACAAAACAAAACATGAGGCGAAATGTCTGAACATACGTGTTCAGGCAAATTCGTGCGCAATCCTCTCATCAACCATGAACATGGGTTTAAGCACGGTCGGGACATGCGGCACTCAGAGAACCGTCTGGACATGTGTTTAAACATTGAAAAAAACACATTGGGGACCTGTGGCAATCAGGGAACTGCTTCAACATACATGTAAGCGTTGGTTCAAACAGATTCGGGATGTGCGGCACCCAAAGAGCTGTTTAAACATGTGCTTGAACATTGGCTTACACGTTGGGGATGGTAAGCAGACGTTTAAGCATTGGTTTAAACAGACTCGGGATGTGCAGCAGTCTGGGAACTATTTAGTCATGCGTTTAAACACATTTAGGGTTTAGGGTTTAGGGTTTAGGGTTTAGGTAAACACATGTTCAGACATGGGTTTTAACACATTCGGAATGTGTGGCGCTCACGGACAGGAACTGTTTGAACAGATGTTTGAAAATGAGTTTAAACACATTTGGGATGCGCGGCAGTCAGCCGCAACTGCGTAAATCGGGAGTTGGCACAGGTGTGCTTAAGCATGTGTAAACGCCCCTCCTGACATGTTTTGAAGTGCCCCTTGGGGATATAGACTCTCTCAATAAGGTCCCGTCCAAGAGAGCCAGAAGTCCGCCGAGTGGACAACTTAAGGATTAGGGTTTAGGGTTTAGGGTTTAGGGTTTAGGGTAATTCAGCATGTTTGAGCTCAAAGCTTTTATTTGAACCTACACGTGTTCAAAACGACCCCGCCTTGGAAGACTGTGATCATGAACAGCGCCTCGTACTGGCGCATGCCCCGAGTCATGAATGGAACGTTCGTAATCGCGAAGAAGACTGCGCCAGCAGCCATGGTGTACGGGAGAGAAGTGCTCCAAGTGGTTCTGCAGTTGCCCTCAAAACACTCTTTGAGGAAGACTGCAAGAAGACCTCAAGTGCTGTACAAACTTTCTTTCTCTCTCGCTCTCTCTTATCAGATCCTAGTCCTAGGCTTGTGGATGCTACCAGATCTGCCATAGCTTGGCTCCGAGGTGCGGGTGCACCACATATTGCCTGCAAGCGATCCAGAAATCGCTCCGAGGCAGAAGCCCCGGAGCACAGAGCCATGGGCAGCGAATGCAAGCACTCGCAGATTTCCGAGTAGCCACAGCGCGAAGACCACGATGTAAAGGTAAATGTGCCACTGTGTGAGAAGATTCTGAGCATCTTCGACCGACCATTCCGGGGTCGGTGTCCCCTTGAACAGCACAGACAGAGTTGCTGTCACAAAGACTGCGATGATGCCTTTGCAGCGACACGGGGTCAGCTGTTCGCCGAGCGTCAGAGGTGCCACCCTGACATGTTTCGGGGAACTCGCGAAGAGTACGCTTCGGTTGCGGCTCTGGGACGGAAGGAAACATACAGCCGCAACTGCTGCTGTGACTGGCCAAGCAGCAAGGCATTGATGATGACGTTAAAGCCTGTAAAGGGCGCGACCACAGAAGCTGGGGCAAAGGCATAGCCGGACATGTCAAGGATCGGTCCGACGACAACATTGAGGAGAATGCCGACCGCATAGCATGTCCTTCCTGATGCGGATCGAAAGGGGTGCAAGGCTACATGCGGCTACAAGGCACATCAGACATCAACTGAGTGCTGAACCCTAAAGGCCCTTGCCCTAACAGCTCGTGCCCCCAGCCCTTCTGTCCTTGCGAAATGTGTCCGGACTGGGTCTTGAGCTCCGAAGCGCGGATCAAATGCATTCCACCGGTGCCCACCAGAAGCCCAGCCAGAACCAGGCCCACACCGACCAGCCACATGGCGGCAAGGGGCTGTCCCGCTTCGGACAAGTGTGGTACACTGGCGGAATCTGCCGGGGGTCCTAGTAGCACTACTGCTGCTTTCGAAAGCTCCAGGGGCCGGGTTCGAGTTGTCCACTTGTTGCGGGTTACAGGACTTCTGTGCCGATTCTGTGCTTTCGAATGCTTCCCACGCGGTCAAAGACAGCAGCTTTTCTGGGCCTTCCAGTGCTGCAAATATGCAAATGCTGCAAATTACAGTACTTTTCTGCGTTCGAATGCTCCAAACATAGCAATTACGGAACAAAAACAAGAACACACAAAACAAACAAAAAAGCTCTCCCTTGAGGATAGGAAGGAGGGCTAAGCAACAACCAAACTTAGTCATGCTTCATCGTCGATTGCTGCATGACGTGGTGCCCTCATGATTCCGTTCCCAACGTGCTTCGCTGTTTGTTCCCCACAAAATTCTCCGTCATGTTGCGCCCTACGAGCTCGAGATCCGTCTCCGAGATGTTTTGCAGTGCAAATGTGGACACCGAGCCAAAACCTTCCCTGTCTTTTTGAAGGGTGTAGAGAAGGTATTCCTAAAGAAACACATCCCAAGTATACACTCTTCTTCTCTTCTCGCATCATTCGGAGCGAGGACGATAGCAGGTCGTGCACTACGCATGCAGTAACCACGCTTGTTCTATTGGCAGCACTGTCATGAACGCGAGCTACACATCATGGCGACGAAATGAAAAGAGCGACAAGTTTTCGAGTTGCAACACCTGCAACATGACTTGTGGAGCCTAGGATGCGCTGCACTGTGAACTCAGCAGTTTTCAGAATGATAACCACTGACGGATTATAAGAGTGCTACAACTGATGCGACGACGAAAGCCGCCGCGGGCGCAGGGTCTTGTGAAAAGCATGACATGGTGTGCATGGGATCTCTGTTCTAGGCAACGGAGCTCACACATTAGATTCTAATTGCAGGGTCTTTTGCAGCAGTCTGCAAGGAAAGGGTCACCGAAAAAACCTGAGTTCGGGGTTGTTAGGGCCTGTTAGGGCTTATAGGTACCTGCCCAAACAAAAGACTCTTGGGGGTTTAGGGTTTAGGGTTTAGGGTTAAGACTGAGTTTCAACCCCCAGTTCCCAAATTTGCCGTCTCTGCGTTGCCAAGAGCAGGTCGGATGTTCCATTGGGTTTCGAGCAAGCTCATGGTTCCAGAAAGCCCTGCTGCAACCTTCCACGGCACGCTGTGCTCAGCGCGAGCTCTGCTCGCCAAGCACGCTGGGAGCTCGAGCTCGAGAGGCTTTCCTGTGGCCAATTCGGAAAATCCTGCCCACAGGCAAGAGCTCTCTCAATTGAGAGGGTAGCAAAGGCTGTTTTCCTATATGGTACCATCTTGGGCAGAAACCGCAGGCTGTTTTCCGTGCCGCGGAGGGGACGCAGAGTTCTGGGCCACTACCCAGCATCGTCCCATGAGTTGCGCAGCTCCCCACAGTTTCGACCCAGCGGGTGTTTGGGCTCTTCCCTCACTGAAGATCCCGGGAAGGACTGCCCGACTTCGAGGTTTGCGTTTCTGCTCGGAGCGCCATCTTGCAGAAAGAGACGCAGTGCCCCAAAAAGAGCAAGCCGATATGTGGGTCCTGTGCACGGGCAAGAGCCTGAAGCAACGGTCGCGCCTTTGCCAAACGCTCGGCCGGGGCGAAAGCCTCGCCGGAGCGGCCCCCCGACCGAAGCACAAAGCAGAGTAATGGTGCCAGAGCCGTTGACGCGCAGTCCCGCCGGCCACGTCCTTTCTGCATCCTTGGTCTCTTGACTTCTGCAATAGACTCCGCGTGTGGCCAGGACCCAGGACTCGCTGGCCTTCGGGAGCAGCAGGGCGTCCGTTTGCGCAACGCTGTAAGAGTCGCGTGACAGGCTCAAAGTGAAGTTGTCAAACTGTAGACTGACGCTGAGGGGTGCATTGAAGTGGAGGTTTCTGAGAGTGTTGGTGCCCAGCCTACTTACGGGGCGCAGTAGCTTTAGGGCACAGTTTAGGGGGATCTTAGCGGAGAAGATGGTCCAGTAACCTGCCACACTTTGCTTCCGCAACATCTTATGGGTAGTTCTCTAACCTGGGGTCCCTTTTCAACTCCCAAATATATCGCACGACGGCACCCCTATAAAACGGACCCGTCAGTGGTTTCAAACCCACAGACCCTCTTCCCAAGTGCAAGTCGAAAAGGCACATGATTAGGTGCGTACTGCAGATTGCCAGCTACTCCCCGAGCTCGACTCTTAAACCCTGGAAGCCGGATGCCTAAACTCAGAGTTCTACATCGGGAACTTTGTAAAGATGCTCTCAATGGGCACGGCTTCCCAACCCCACCCCTGCAGAAGGGTATGCGCACCCTAAGCTGGTCCGCCCAAGAAGCTCCAAAAAAATATTGGAGTATCTTGCAGAAGCAGGCGCAGTGCCCCGTGAGGAGCAAGCCGACGTGCGGATCCTGTACGCGGGCAAGAGCCTGAAGCAACGGTCGTGCCTTTGCCAAACGCTCGGCCAGGGCGAAAGCCTCGCCGAAGGGGCCCCCCGACCGGAGCACCGAGCAGAGTAATGGTGCCAGCTGTTGACACGCAGTCCCGCCAACAGGTTCGCCGGCCACGTCCTTTTTGTCAAGACATGTGAGTAGTTCTCTAAATTAGGTCCCTTTCTGGTTCAAAGTACCAAGTACGGCACCCTTATAAAAAGTACTCGAAGAGGGACCCTAATTTAGAGAACCACCCATGTCTTGGCCATGCCGAAGAAGCTGTAGGGCAAAGCTTAGGGTGCCCTTTTCCCAAAAGAAGACGGGCCAGGGAAGCCGTGACATGAACAACTCTGGCCTCTGGCCACAAGCTGACGGGTGTTGTCCGTGTCAAAAATTTTGGGGATCTTCGAAGGTTTTTTTTTTCGAAATTTTATGACTTCTGTGTTTTGTTGCAGTGTTTGGGGGGCCATCCCATGGGAGCAGCTCAACAGGCTCAGAGCTGCGCCATGTCCGTTTCTGCCTCCCAACAGCGGAGACGCGTCAAAGCTTCATAGGGTTTAGGGTTTAGGGTTTAGGGTTTAGGGTTTAGGGTTTTCAGCCGTCGGAGCTAGCTACGCGAAGCTTTTATGAGGCTTCCACCCTTCACCTGAGCCAGCGGCAAAACCCAAGAATACTTAGGCGGCTTTGCAACTATCGCTATCGCTGTCCCAAGGTTTCTAAGCATAGGACTTCATGGGCTCATGCTTTTAAGGCTCTTGGGATTGGGAATCGCATGGAGCCGGATCTTGTGGTGGGCCTTATGAATCACGTCAGTCATCAAAAAAAGCTGCCCGGCCAAACCTCTTAAAGAGGGCGGTCTCTATCTGAGGCATTTTGGCCTTGGAAAGTCGTTGTCGCTTGTCGCTATGGACACAATTGAAAGCCCCACGTGATGACTTAGGGGTCTGTTCTGCCCGTCAAGATATATGTGAGTGGCTTATGTGCTCCGTACATGTCGCAAGTTTTGCCTGTCGCTCACCTTTTCACTTTCAATGTAGGAAGCTTCCGGGCTGCCGCACCTATGGGAGGTTCCGAAAATAAGGGTACCTTATTTTTAGGGGTCCTTATAGTAAGGATCCTACTATTTAGGGTACTATATCAGGGACCCCTATTTTCGGAAACCCCCCTATAGAGATCCTGGTCCAAAGCGGCCCTCAGACCGGAGATTGCCGGCGTATCCGTGCCGCTCAGCTTCGTGCCGCTGGGCTGCACACTGGCTCCGTGGGTTGGTCGCGGGTACTCTGCCGTCTGCAGGAACGCTGTCGCCAACGCTTAGAAGTCGCGCCGAACTCCCACAAATCGACTCTTAAACCCTTGAAGACGGATGCCTAAACTCAGAGTTCTACATAGGGAACTTTGTAAAGGATGCTCTCAACGGGCACGGCTTCCCGACGCCACCCCTCACTGATGCTGGTTGCAATCCACTGCGAAGGGTATGCGCACCCTGGGCTGGTCCGCCCAAGAAGCTGCACCAAAACAATGCTTCAAAAGTACCGAACGTCGACTCTGCAGCGGTGCTCTGATGCCACCGGCACACCCACAAGCAAGTACGTGGCAGTCTTCCATTTTCAAAGAGGTGTTGGCTTCAGGGCTTAGTGGGGTTTGGGACTGCGAAAAGGAAACTCACAAAGCAGAGAAAAAAGGCCACAACTGCGAGCGGAGTGTGCAGTCATGGCCCCCAACCCCTGCTTCGGGGTATCCTCTGGCGTCGAGACGAGGCACCCGAAGCCCAAGCGGATCAACCTAACCGGCCTTGAAGCAGGTGCTGCACCATCGAGGCCCGAGTCCTGCGCTGCAACAAGACACGCAGCAAGGGTTTAGGGTTTAGGGTTTAGGGTTTAGGGTTTAGGGTTTAGGGTTTAGGGTTTAGGGTTTAGGGTTTAGGGTTTAGGGTTTAGGCCTGCTAGAAGAGTGAAGGGGGAACGTCGCCTCCGAGGAACGTCTCGTTGAAGTGACGCACCGAAAAAAATGCATTTTCCCTCCAATTTCTCGTATCGTTTCCGCCCACAGAGCCCCGACGGCCCCACATGGTGCGAGCCTATGCTTGGCGCGATTGGGTGCTGGAAGCCCACCCGAGCATTTCTTTGCTCCATAGTTTGCGGGAGTGTGGGGACACCTGCACAAGGGCGCTTAGAGCTGGGTGGTTCTCGAAAGCCCGATTCAAAGTGCACCCCCGCGACATGAGAGGTGAGGGTCAACCTATCCCCCACTTCGACTGGTTGAAGGGGCAAAAAACAGAGAAAAGCACTGCACCGGCAACCCAACTGCTCTTGCTGAAAGCAGTGCGCAGAAAGCACCCTGATTCCCGATTCCCGTCGGCTCCAGCTCTGAATCCCAAAGGCTAGAAGCATTTGCAAATCCCAGCTCCCCACGCTGAAGGCTGAAGCTTCAGTCCTCAAGGTCTACCAGTCTGCTGCGAGTCGCCGAAGAACGTCACGGGAGGAGGCATACGTTTCAAGGCGTGGACCCAAGCTTGCTCATTCGTCGAATTGAAGACCTGAAGATCACGGAACTGCACGTTTTGACATGCTACCGTCTGCAATAATTTCAGTGGTGTTCATTCAAAGCTCTTCAGCCGCATGGCGACTGTGGCCACCCCTCATGCTTGAGGGAGGCATGATGAGGCATGCCTCAGCCAGACCATTCTAGGCCTCGTGCCAGCGAACTCAAGGAGATCCATCGAAGAGCTGATGTTTCCCAACCATGCTCGACGGATGCGCCGGGCGTGTACATGTGCTCGGGCCAAAGAACTCGTGCATATGCGCACACAGGAACATTCCATGCAACCAGAACCGGCACAAAATCATCAGTTCTAGCCGGGACTGTTTCCACTAGTCTCATGATTAGCTTGCTCTCCGTTGATCACTTGCAGCAGTGATGTGAAGGACATCTGCCCCTTTGCACGAGGACCCCAGCAGGCAGCCTGGCGTAAAGAACACCCCGTGTCTTGCTGAGCCGGCGCCTTGACATTAAGACCCTACTTGGAGGCCCAGGGGACTTAGTAAGTAGATTATAAATAGAGGTATAAGTACCCTAAATGGAGTTACCCCAATTGTAACCCTACTTAATAATAACCGACTTACTAAGTCCCCTCCAAGTAGAACCAAAAACGCATGTTTCCAACGGCACGTTTAACAACAGCAAACATCGAAGCAAACATCATCGGACGTCGTGATCTGGGCATATATCCAGGCTGCATTGTTTGCAAGCCTAGCGGCTCCCGTCTTCTCTTCACGTACGAACATGGACGGTCAGCCATGACCCGCCGTCGCCATGCCTCGGCAGTAGAAAGCCCCAAAGAGACCGAATGCAAGTCCGGCAGCGACGAGATTCGCTCATCGGAAGTGTATGGATCCGTAGAGGGTTTTCTTTCTGGCATTCCGTGCTTGAAACCCTAAATCCGAAACCCTAAACCCGCCTCGCTCCTTCCCAGACCCCGCCTCGGCAGCCCGAGTCACGATGCATGCCGTGCCAGGACGCTTGCCGGCAGCTGCACCGGCCGAGCCTCCGAAATTCAGGCTTTAAGATAGGGGCGTTAATAACTAGACTAGGGTTTTTGTGGTATACTACACTAAAGTTATAAAGAAGGAACCCCCAAAACCCTGCTCTAATTATTTAGGTCCCTGCATTACTCCGAAAGACCCAAAGTCTAGACTCCTGGGGCCTAGGGCCCGCCGAACCCTCAAACTGCGAGCGCCTGAAACCGTAATGGGCTTAGGGTTTAGGGTTTAGGGTTTAGGGTTTAGGGTTTAGGGTTTAGGGTTGTCAGAGCTTCAACGATCTCTGCAGCAGCCGTCGTTGTTGTGAATGTAGCTGTGACTCAGCACAACCATCATGTTGCTTCCACAGCATGAATGTGATGCGAATTGTGATGCTGGCTGGCATCACCACCATCATCCTAATAAGCAGTGCTGTCACCGTCATCATCATCATCATCATCATCGTCATCAAAGTAACTAAGCAAAATGAGATATAAAGGAGGAGGCGGACCCCTACAAGTAAATGACGGCACCATACTCACAATCGTAGTATCGGGCTTTGGGGTTTAGGGGGTTACAGCAATAGCCAAGTATTGCCGGAGCTGTGAACAGGATTGGCACTCACCGATAGTGGCACTGAAGCTTTCATGCTGCCATGCTACACAACATTGGTCGCTAGCCCTAAACCCTAAACCCTAAGCCCTCAACCCTAAACCCTAAGCCCTCAACCCTAAACCCTAAGCCCTCAACCCTAAACCCTAAGCCCCACATTACGACAGCTTCTTGCTTTTCCGTCTCGCCATCGTGTTCGGTCAACTCTTGGTGCTCGGTCAATCTCAAGTCTTGGCAGAAACGGGATTCAAAAATCAAGCGCCCGATCTCGAAGTGGCCTTTGGACGACGCTGCGATGATCGCTCTGTCCTGTCACTGCTTGGACATCTAATGTAGGGGCCTTAATAATTAGAATAGGGTGTGGGGTATATTAAAATATATCTAGAAGAAGGAGCCCCCCAAACCCTATTCTAATTATTATGGCCCCTACATTATGACTTGCAGGGCTTTGGATGTA